AATCACACCCAAATCAAACCATAGAAAGGACTAACTCACTATCTTTGCCATAGAAGCCCCAAAATTAAGGATATTTCTAATAAAAGTTTAATACCTAAAAATCTTATAAACCAAAGGATTAAAGCCAAATCTCACCAATTTAAACTACCCAAAACTCTAACCCAAAATTCATAACTAAAACTTATACTTACCTAACAAAAGCACCTTAACCTTGGTTGGAGAAAGAAGGAGGAAATGATGTAGGTGGAAGAGGAAGGCATAGAAAACCAAATGAGGCTTTTGGGAGCCTTCTGGAGGCTTATCCAAGCTTCCATCGACAAAGTCCAAAAAACTTGGTTAGGAAAATGCCATGTGGTAAGCAAAATTGGAATAATTGAGTTATGGTCATTCAACTTCTACTAAATTTTACCTAAAACCCCCAAACTTTAAATTCAATCAATTTAATCCCTAAAACTATGAACTAAAAGACACTAATTTTTAAATTATTCACTAAGGTATGTGGGGTGTTACAGCGTAGATGTTGTTTTTGCCGGCTGCACTCAAGCACCTCCCTAAAGATAGGATTTCGTATGGCTGGGGACATTGCCTGACATATACAATTTCCAATTTTTTGCCAAAACCAATGAAGCTTCGCTAGAACCGTTGGGTAATTCATGATGCCACTGCCACAAAGTTGCCAGCAATGCTTAAAACCACCGAAAATTCGATAGCTCATCCCAACCTGTCTGCACACCTCTAAGCCATCAACTAGAAATTACAATAATATCACTGCATATATATATATAAATCATTTTCCCTTCATTTTTTCAAAATAGAGAACATAAAAATGCATGCAACACAAAAACATATTTCAAGCACCTAACTTCAACCCTTCTTTCTCACTGACCAAAAACTCCCATTTTTCGCCTTGAAATATTTCGTCTTCAACCTCCTACCCTGCACCCTGAAACCGTTCAGAAATCACCATTTCCTCGAATTTCTTGTATTTTCCAGCTCTGCAAGATATTTTCTAGCTCTGCAAGACATTTTCCAACTCTGTAGAACGTTCTTTAGTACTGTAGAACATTTTTTAGCATTGCAGAATACCACCGAGTATTGCAAAACATTTCCAGATCTGCAAGATATTATGGCCGGGAAACAACATGCTACAATTTTAGCTTCAGATAGTTCTTCTTAAGCATCAGACGATCAAGATTGTAAAGTTAGCATAAAAAGTGAGATCAAGTGCTCCATTCGTAAGCTCTCAAGTAGTCATCCTTTCTTTTCTCATCACCACTCTCAAGTTTATCCTTTTACCTTTGGAAGAATCTCAAGAGTGAAGTTGCCACACTTTTCATTTTCAATATGAGAAGTGTTCGTTATAGAGTAAAGATATACACTAGAGATGAAGGAGGTCATATTTATTGTCATTACTATCATGTCACAATGATTTATGTATGAATACAACTTTCAAGTTGTAATCTTTGAACCATATGTTTTTTTCATCTTTGCTGCCCCTTCCATAGCAACATACAACTTTCATCCATCATGGTTTTGGTAGTTGTGTAATCATCTTAAATACTTGGAATCTCATTATTGCTACCCAACTCCACTGGCTTGGCTGGAAGATTTATCCTTTCAAAAACTTTGCTAGAGAGTTCACTGCAAGACATCATTGCCCACCAGAGTGGGATGGTCTGTAGCATGTAGCTCTCTGCACATGAGACGAATGCTGCCGAAAGAACCCCCCTCATTTCCTCGAGTGTCATCTTAGTCAACTTCCATGTCATCACCACTATTGACTCATCCACCTACATGAGCAACACCCCCGAACAAAATGGCAACTCCACTGGAGGTCATCCTAGAGCTTCATCATGTTCTACTCTTCTTCAGCGGCATAATATCTCTAGCATTCTGCCTCAGCACTATTCAACAAAATTTTTTCTAGCAATGCCTATCATAAAGGCAACCTTGTCTCACATTGCCGATGAGAATCGAGAGCTTGGCCAGGATTTCGGACGGGAAGTTCAGCAACCGTGCACATTAACAGATGTTTTTAATGACCTCTTCGCAAGGAATCACTGATCCTAGCCTTGCATCCCTAGTTCAAGTTATTTAGGTCCTACACGAATACCAACAAAGGGCTACTCAGCTCTTCACCAATGTACAGACCCAACATGTTATGCTGGATCCAACACAACCCATCAATATGGTTGGAACTTCCCAACCACATGAAGTCCATACTATGGCTACCGATGGTAATGGAGGTTCTACTGTGGGGCTGAACAACTCGGCACCACCAATAGTTGCAACTACCAGTATCGATAGAGCTTCACCAAATGCAGCCGATTCTACCCAAGGTTATGTCACCATGGCAAATCTTATTGCTTTCTTGGACATGGAACGACCCCTTTTTAGTTTGTTCGTGATCCACCTTACCCAAAGAAGATTCTATCTAGACCATGCCCGAAGAAATATGATGGAAGGAAAGTCTTGCATTTTTGCAGTATGATGGAAGGAAAGGTAGTGCTGTGGAGAACGTCAGGAAATTCCTTGATGCCATGGGGGCTCACGCTGATGATAAAGATTTGTGTCTACGTGAGTTCTCTAAGTCTCTTTCTGATAGATCTTATACATGGTACATTACTCTGCCTTCTAGCTCTGTCCATTCTTGGGACGAGATGGTGGAACAATTTTGTCAAAAATACTTTCAGAGTGAAGAGCGCATCGCCATCCTTGATCTCCACAACACCTGCCAATACACTAGTGAAGATTTAATGGTCTACATGAAAAGATTCAGAGATTTGGCACTTGATTGTTATGGTGGCCATGTTGAATCCTTCATAGTGGAAATCTGCATCAACAACATGTTTCGAGAATATCGCGTTGTCCTTGAAAACATCGGGATCAACCAATTTGTAAGGTTACTTGATGCCGTCAGGAGGACAATCATTTTTGTCAAAGCCATCTCTATTGGGAAATCTACAATAAAGTCAACAGAAAAGAAAACCGTTGCTCACACCTTGGCTATCTCTGTCTGGGGCCAAGGATAAGGACAGAAAATGAGGGATCGTGACACAGCACCGCCACTACCTATTCCTCTCACTATCAAAGAACTTGACGTGCTCTTAGATTAGTGGATCGCTGATGGTGCCATCACACTACCTTAAGCGCATCGTAAGCCCAGCGATGATAACAAGTGCAACCCCAAGTACTGTCCCTACCATCGCTTTGTCCATCATGCGACCATCGACTATTTTTCCTTGAGAAGGATGTATCATTGATGGGTTTTAGAAGGATTGCTAAAAGTGCCGAACAGAAGGCAGAGAGTGGACAAAGATCCTCTCCCACACCACAACCAAGGTGTTGTCAATGTTCTCACCCATGTGCAAAGCATTGGAGCAAGTGAGCCAATAGTTGAATTCCCTAATGATACGCCCAACTTCTTTGTCTGTGCACTCCAACGAACTCCAAAGTTCAAAATGTTGTTTAACCAGCTTGGTTTCGCTATTGAGGCGCGACGAAGAGCCACAGAGGCCTACTCTCCATCACTAATGAGGCTAGAGGAGAATGCCTCAACGCTGAAGTGCATGCTAGTCGCGCATGCCAGCCGCACTTATCTTGAATCTTCTAATGTTGTCACATTCATTGATGAAGATATGGAGGCACCACATCTTAACCATAGAAAGCCTCTTTACTTATCTGCTCAGATCAACTTTGTCGGTGTCAGGCGTGCACTAGTTGATATGAGATCCTCTCTCAACCTAATACCACTGAGCACCATCATCGCTGCAAGAATCCCCTAACGAAGAATCGTCAAGTCTCCACTCAGCATTGTTGGCCTTGGCAACAGTAGTGAGCATGCCCTTGGATGCGTTCAGCTTGAATTAAAGGTCGATACAATCCAATCTCAAACCACATTCTTTGTCATTGACGCAAAAGTTTCTTATCATATATTGCTGGGAAGACCATGGTTGCATCGACATAAAAATGTCCCTTCTACTTATCATTAATGTGTTAAGGGCCACTTAAATGGAAAGGTTTCCCGCATGCCTACCAATCCGTTGCCATTGATCAGACTTATACCCACTTCACTAAAGCTACTTTTTATGAGGATTCGCCCTTTCTAGCGAAGTGACAATATCTCGCCCGGGTGGCATTGTCTTGCCAACTTGGAATGACATCAAAGATAAGCCTAATCTTGATTTGTGAAGTGTCCTGGAACATAAAAGGCAGAGGAAAGAGGTAGGAAAAGCTATCCAAGCACACCCAAAGTGCACTCGAACTGTCCTTCCCGATGGGAGGATCAAGTATACTTTATGAAGATGTGCGAGGCATCTTGGCCATGTGCGAGATGGCCCCATCGCCAGTATTGTAGCCATGTCTTTGGATCATCCATTCTTCACTTTGGAGGGAGATACTTCGATTGCTAAATAAGACGTCTCCAACAAAGCAAAATGCCTCGCTCTTGAGGTTGGTAATGAGATACTTGTTGAGCACCTAGATTTTTCTAGCGAAGCTAATCATCTAGTATTGCCAGACAAGTTGTCAGCCCTTCATGAAGCTCAATCGACACTCACTTCTCTAGAGTCCCTCGAAGCCGTTGATCTTGTAGATGATCCAACAAACCCTAGGCATGTACATATCAACACCACTCTATCTACGGGTGAAAGAGCCAAAATGGTTAATTTGCTTCGAGAATATAAGGATGTTTTCACCTGGAACTATGATGAAATGCCGGGGCTTGATCCAACCTTGGTGGCACATTCTTTGAATGTTGATCCTAATATGAAGCCAGTTGTGCAACCAAATCGCGCCTTCCATCCAGAGGTTACTCTAAAAATTAAAGAAGAAGTTGATAAGCTCTTGGCTATAAGATTCATCAAACCAACAAAGAAGCCAACTTGGCTGGCCAATATTGTACTAGTCTGAAAGAAGAATGGGCAGATTTGATGCTACGTTGACTTTCGTGACCTCAACAAGGCATGCCCCAAAGATCAATTCTCCGTCCCAAACATGGACGTGATGATGGACAATACCGTTGGCTACAAGATGTACTCTCTCATGGATGGCAGTAGTGGGTATAATCAGGTTAGTATGTGCCTAGCAATGCAGAGAAAACTGCTTTTCGTACCCCTATTGGTAATTTCTACTATATTGTTAGGCCTTTTGAACTCAAAAATGCTAAGGTTACTTATTAAAGAGTCATGGTGGCAATCTTTCATGATTTCATCCATATATATATATTGAGATATACATTGATGACATTGTGGTGAAATCCAAAACAAGACTGGGCCACTTCGATGTGTTAAGAAAAGTCTTCAACAGATGCCGTCTATATAAGCTGAAAATGAATTCAGCGAAGTGTGCATTTGGTGTTTTCGTTGGGAAATTCCTGGGCTTCCTTGTGAGTAAACACTTTTGCCTTGCACTAATTTATGTATCTCGGTGCCTTCGACATTATTTCTTGACTCATAAGATACAACTCATCACCAAGTCTCAGCCCATTCGGTACCTTCTAACACGGTCCATGCTCACTGGCTATCTTGCTAATTGGCTCCTTTAATTGTCTCTATATGATATTACATGCATTAATCCCATCGCCATAAAGGGGTAAGCCATTGCAAATTTGCTATCTGAGTTTTCTGGCGAAGTCCAGTATCTTATTTCTAATGAAGTCCCAGGTGGTGAGGTTGCTATGGGATAGGAAATTGAGGAAGAATGAACATTATATTTCGATGATTCTTCTGTGGTTGAAAGGGTTGGGGCTGGCGTTGTTCTCCAAAATGACAAAGGCCATGATATGGTGTTTTCATTCAAGCTTGATTTTCAATGCATGAACAATACTAGAGAGTACGAAGCTTATCTTATCGGCCTCACTATGGCTAAAGAAGCTGGTGTGCAGTGCTTGAAAATCATTGGTGATTAAGGACTGATCCTCAGCAAAGTTCAAGGTACCTTTTTTTTCCGAGAAGAACATCTTGCGCCATATCATTCTTTCAGCCAACACTTGAAGCGGTCCTTTGCAAGCACAAGATATGAGTAGGTACCATGAATGGAGAATCAATTGGCTAATGCCTTAGCCATAATTGTTTCGAGAGTACCCATGGCCGAGAATCCCTACAGCATCCAGATTGTTTGAAACAAGCAACCTATCTATCATGGTTGCGAATCTGTTTTGCTTGAGCTACCTAACCGTGCTGACTAGCGATATGAGATTTATAGCGTCTTGTTACAGCAAAACTCTGGCGTGTCTTTAAAGGACCTATCTGGCTATGTTATTCTTTCTTACAAACTATACTATTGCCTCCCTAGCAGAATCTTGGCCAGGTGCATTAGCAATAAGGAGGCTTATCACAGACTTAGAGAAATTCATGATCTCACATGTGGTCACGATAGTTGCGTGAGCCTTTACTGCCGGATCTAATGAGCAGGGTACTATTGGCCAGACATGGCTCGATAATCCACTGAATTTCAACAGTAATGTGTATCTTGTCAACAAGCTTACTATCAAAATGAAGAATGCTTCTCTGCTGATAGTGTTCAAGATTGGTGCCATCCCTACATTGAGTACTTCGTTGAGGGAATATGGTTAGATTCTTTGAAGGATGCACACAATCTAAAGAGATCTTTGTCAAAGTTTTTCATGGATGGTGGAGTTTTGTTTCGTACCAGCTTCACTGGCGAGCCGCTTCATTACCTATCATTAACAGAATCTCAGAAAGTCATGGCTGAAATACATGCAGGAGAATGTGGCGAACATCAAGGGCGGAGAAAGCTATACTAGCAACTTTTGGCTCATGGTTATTATTGGCCAAGCATGAAGCAAGATGCTGCAAATTTCGTTCGATGATGTCACACTTGCCAGGTTCATGCTAGTCTCATCCATTCTTATCCTAATTTGTTGCAAGACATGAAAACTCCTTAGCCTTTTCATACTTAGGGATTGGATCTCATCGGTCCTATTCACCCTTCATCTAAGGGTTACATTTAGATATTGGTGGCTACTGAATATTTCATCAAATGGGTGGAGGCATCCCTCTTTGCAAGGCTACAGGTCTAGCAGTGTCAAACTTCATCAAGAAGCACGTAATTTGCCATTTTGGGATCCCACACAAAATTGTAAGCGACAATGGAACTCCTTTCGTTAATCAACATGTGTGAAGATTGCTGGACACTTATAAGATCAAGCATCGGAAGTCCACCCCCTACTACCCCTAAGGCAATGGCCAAGTGAAGGCAACTAACAAAAGTTTGCTTAGAATTCTGAGGAAGATGGTCTATGAGTACGAAGGAGGGTGGAGCATTCATTTGCAAGATACTCTTTGGGCACATCGAACGTCATCCAAGACTGCTACAGGTTTTTTGCCTTATTTTCTGGTATATGGTTGCAATGTTGTTCTTCCTGATGAAGTCTTAGTGTCCACTGCACGCATCTTGGCTACAGCCGAGCTAGATAGTGATGTTGAGCTTTGTGGCTGTAGGCGAGTCGAAGACTTGGACTCTATTGAGGCACTTCGTTAGATAGCACAGGAAAAGGCTCAGAAATATCAAGCCAAGATGACAAATGCCTACAACCGTGCAGTCAAGGCTAAAGGTTTCACAGTTGGACAGATGGTCTTTAAGGCCTCTAACCATGTAAGGAAAAACATCGTTGGACCATCCAAGTTCACTGCCAACTGGTACGGTCCTTTTGTTGTTGCAGAAACACATAATGGCGGATATTATCACCTTAAAACTCACAAGGGAGAACCGCTATCGAATCCTGTGAATGTCAAATGGCTCAAGCCGTATTATTGTTAGGCTTCACCAACCTCATCTATTTTTGTAATTTTATCTTTGGCCTAATCGTTTATTCCAACCAAGAGAATTAATTTCATTCAAGGTGTATCATCAAATGTAAGGTGCAAATAGCACTCTTTTATTGTGTTTGGCACTTTATGTACTAGCCTATTTAGACTCCTTTCATTCCACTCTGTGACTATAAAAGGATAGGGAGTGTTCAAAAGAAAAAAAAAAAAAGAAAGAAAGAAAGAAAAAAGGGAAAAAGAAGAAGTGCATCATATAACATAAAACAACCTCCCTGATCCATTTCTCCAGTACAAATTTGTCTGTCCAATTGGTATATTTAGAGCAGCAGGGAGAAACAAGCAAGAAAATAAACGAGCAACAAGGTCCAGACTTTACTAGAAGCAAAGATGTTCAACCCAGAACAAACATGGTTAAAAGGTTACATCATGGCAACATCACTAATGGCCAACTTCTTGTAAGGGAAAAGGAATAAAAAAATGAAGAGAAAGCTAGGACGTAAGGCTGACTCATGGTAGGAAGGGGTCGGGCTCATCTCCAAAGGCTTTGGCAGCCTCCATATAGGCCTAACGAAGCTCATCATACCATTGGAATCCAAACGTTCTTTTTCTTGGTTGAGCAATCCTAAGTAAGCCTTGGCTGACACCAATCCTTCTTCCAGTTTGACGACAAGTTCTCTTGTCTTGGCCAAAGACTTCTCCATCTCTTCAATATGCTTCGCTTGCTCCCTGATCCACTCAACCAAGCCCTCAGCCATGTCACCTCCAGCCGTGCTGAACTCGGTCTTCCCAAGGTATGCCTTTGCTAAGGTTGATAAATGAGTGCAAAGGGCATTGACTTCAAAGTTTAGACTCTCAGCATCGTTAAGGGCATCCCTACACAGATAGAAGAAGTCCTCATTCATTTCAGCAAAGGGAGTTACTTCATGTGCCGCATGGTCACACAAAGGATTGAGAAGCCATCCTCGACCACCACCTTTTTGCCCTTGTTACGCGTCGTTAGATTTGGAAAGATGTCCAACAGATGATGCACCCACGGTTCCAACATTGCGGGCACTACAAACCTACCCATCGCTCATGAACCGCCCAGGGGAACTAAGCCAAACCGAGTCAGTGAGACATCTCTGTCCTCATTCATCTCGTCAAGATTCTTAAGTAGCCTCATGGCCAGACCGTTGATCTCACTCGACTGCACTGGAGCCGCAAACGGCTGGCCACTATGCTTAGCTTCGCCAGGGCCGACAACTTTTTTCGCCTAGCCCATGACTGGTATACTAGTGTCCATCTTGCCTTTGTTAGAGACGGATTTCTTCGCAGTGTCGCCCACGTTTGACTCGAATTCTTCAAGGGTAGCCCTGTTCATGTCAATGCTGCCTTGAAGGCTTGGAACTTTGCCTCTCTACTTGGAACCATTCCCACTTCTAGACAAGACATCATTACTATTGGACTGATGGCTGCTGCTATCATTGGAATCAGAGCTGATTACCTCAGTGACCTTCTTTCCCTTTTCTTTACCAACATTGGTTGTGGCCTTGGCCTCGCCCTTCTCAACACCTGGCAAGTGAATGGAAGCGTGACTGATTAATAGGGAAATGTGTAGTTTAACCAAGCAAGGTGTTGAAATCTAAACTATTTCATTAAACAGCTTCAAGTACCTTTCCCATCACTGGTAGCACTAGTTTTCCTCACTAGTATAAATCCCCCAGGAACCAATTCGAAGTCACCAGCACTAAAAGGAGGTAGTTCGCTAATGGGATGCGGCTATGCACAAGGAGAGAAAAAGTTAATGACTTTATCTCGACAATCGTCAAGAGTGGATTTCAATTTTTACGGAAGCATAAGGGCTTATACCTTTAATATCGTCACTTCTGGCTGAGTCTTTGCTGTTTCAAGCTTCTTTGTTGTACTGGGCATGCCATATGAAACTTTCACACCTCCACTAGTCTGTAGTAGAATAGAAGGGGGGGCTTAATAAGCACATTTCGGCCTTTCTTAAGAATAAGGAATGAGTCCAAACGGCTTATTGTAGTAGGTTTGTGTGGTGGAACTTCATTGGCCTTAGCCTTCTTTGTTGACTCGACTATAAAGGATGTAGGATCACTCCAATCAATGATAGAGTCAACAACATTAAGTATGTCATCGAGAAGCAAAGGCTCACCCATTTTACTGGCCAAAATTTTCCGACGAACTACAAGGTTCGCCAAGGCTTCCTCCATGTTCACTACCAAGGCTTCCACCTGCTTGGCCTCTTTAGCTTTGGATGGAACTTTATTGTCACCAGGAATGGGGATTGGACCAAAGCCTTCACTAGAAGCTACTGACTTCTCATATAGATATTAAGTCACATTTCAAAGGATCCTTAATGAGGTCAACAATGACCAAATGGGTAGATAGACGAAAGACAAAGCAGCACACTTACTTGGAACAAAGCACTTGAATCATAATACTTCTCACCCAAGCACCTACCGCCACAAATGGGTCTCAATCTCTTGATCTGTTCAATCACCTTGGGATCTAGATTGCCCTAGGAACTCTCATCACTTTCATTGTCACGACTTGTATCTTTTTCCTTTGTAGTTTTGGCCTTGGAGGGTGTGGGCGCTTTAGCCTTATTTTGCTTGTTGGCTAGCGAAGTAAAAGTTCTACGTGCTCTGCTCTTAGGCGGATGGGCAATCCTCTTCCTCTTACCCAAAACCAATCTCTTGGGAGAGGCAAATTCATCAACCCCTTCTGTATTGTCATGAGAAAGGCATTGGAACATGGAGTACTCTTCAACACTAATCCAATCCAGCCAAAATCTTGGATGGAGGAAGAACCAAAGTTTAAGCTAAAAGGGGAAAAGAAGAAAAAGAAGAAAGATAGTATATTTACCTCCAACCCCAACACCACCAGCCTATTGCCCAAATTCTTCATCTACAACACCAGCTTGGTCATACTTTTCCTCTGCCATGCTAAGAATGGGAGGACAAACGGGTACCCACTGTCCATTATCCTTTTTAGTTAAAAAACCCCAAGAGTGTTTGCCGCAATAACTTAAGAAAGAATTATTATAGGTAAAAAGACGTTCACAATCCTGGGAAGCAAGATCATATTCCACCACTTCTGGCAACAATTGAATAAAAGCTTCAAACTTCTTCAGCAGTGTGACCCCATATTCCAACATGGGTGACGACATGGTTGATATTCTCGCAGTGCTAAAAAACCTAAGTGTCGCAGCACCCTCGCTCCACATGGCTGTGGTAGCTTCGTCAATGTAAGGCCGCGTGGCCTTATTTCAATCTATCTTGTCGGAAGAAGGAGCAAAAGGTACATCCTTATCATAACCAAACTATCTCGCAACTTTAAGCTCCACATCCTCCGCCATGTAATGCATGGCAGCATGGATGGTGTGATCACCGCTAGCATTTCTAGATGAATTGAGTTCCCTATGGTACACTCCATAATCTAATTCCCATGCACCATTAGGAGTGACTTGTCAAAGAGGCTCACCTTGGGTGGAGTAAATGTCCTGGGCATTATCTTATATGCGTGGAAATTAAAGCTGCCATAGTCATCCAAGAGGCCATCAACTTTTGGGATTATTTGTCCCTTTATCTTCCTATTTCTTATCTAAGAACAAGCTAACTGAGATGTTCCACTGGTGTAACCACACTTTGCCATGGGATATTCCTTCAAAGCCTTTCCAGTAGTAACATGGCTAGAATGATAAGGGTAAAACCTCTCCCATGCAAACATTTGCAGCAAAGACAAACATACATGTGACTCAATAATGTAATAGCTGGCATTGAGAATCTCATCAAAGTGGAGCAAACCAAGCATGTGATAAAGCGTACCTAGCATCAACGGGGCTAAAGGGAGCTTCACACCTTCAGCCATTTGAATTGCCAAAGGGATACACTTAGCCATAATCTCATGGTTCAGGAAACCCCCAAAAACAAACTTACTCAACCAAGCCATGAAGAAGGCTGCACGTTCATATGGGCTATCTTTACCTTCGCCCGTTTGAAAGTACCCCATCCAAGTCAAAAAGTCAATGTTGTACTCTCCCCTCCATGAGCGAGAAGAGGCGCTGGCATTCCTCCTCATCACTTTCTTCAAGGCTATTAGTGTGGCACGCTCCTCTGACGTCAACACTATTGGTCGTGGATCCTCTTCCCCAACAATAGGCAGCAACATCAGATTTGCCACATCCTCTAGAGTCACAATAACCTCCCCAAAAGCAAGGATAAATGTATGGGTACTCGTGCACCACCTCCTCACCAAACGATAGAGGCACTCTACATTACCACTAATTTGCAAAGTCTGGCTCACAGTTACCGACTTAAGAATCCCAACAGCACGCAATATCTCCACAAAGCCGTTCTCGAAAAGCATCTCTTTAGCCCAACCAGACCAATCTTCCATCTTACCGGACGAGAAAGCAAAATGAATTGGCACCGGCAGCAAATCTCGCCTTTCAAGCCTTGCCCGCGTTATGTTGCGTGGCGAAGGCAACCATGCTGCACTAATGTCACTCCTTTTGAAGGCCTTGAACAAAACTAGATCTTGTTGTTTCTTGAGTGCCCTCTTCACTAACCAAGCGTTGAATTCCAAAAAGCCGTTATGAAAAGTGTACCATAGGTCGTAGTATGGCTGTACTCTATTCGTCGGATAAGGATCGACCATCTCTTAAGGCTTTCTATAGAAAAAAAGAAAGAGACAAAACAAAGATTTAGATTAATGGAAGCACAAGAAATCTACAACATGCAGCCACAAAAAAAAAAAAATGAAGCAGAGAAACAGGGGTCCATCATTACCTCGGTTAGAAAGGGGATTTTGGCAAATTTGCCCACTAGATTAACCTTCTCAGGAAGAATCCAGTAACTTTGTTAAGGAATCCAAAAATTTGATGGGACAAGATGATGAAAATCGGTGACGCAAAAGAAAGACAGAAGGTTTCAGTAGTTTTGTTGAAAAGGGAGAAAGGGAAACTGAGAGACTCAAACTCACTAAGGAAGAAGAAGAATAGCAGAAAGGGAAATTAAGGGCAACATTAAGTGCACCGACCAACCACTTCACCATCTGTTGCTCATCAGCATGGCCAGCAATTATTAGAGGGACGACAAGTAAGGTGCACATTGTTTTGATGCATATACATGTATGCGATCTCCTATAAAATCTCCCTTTTTTATGTGCCATCATAATAGAATTTTTGGGGAAGATTTAGTTTCTTTATTCTTTTAAAAATGGGAGTTACTCTTCCTTTCTAACTGTTGGAAACCTACCTAGGGAATAGCTTTGGACTTCCCTTTAGATCTGAACTGTAGTAAACAGTAAAAAAAAAAAAAAAAAAAAATCTACAATGATTGCTCAAAATGTATTATTTTCCGAGGAAGACAGTGCAACTCGTGCAAGAATCCTAGCGAGGGTGCGGCCGAATGCTTGTTCACTGGACTCATATCTACAGCGAATGGAATCACTACCGCCCATAATTTTTTTTTTACTTCGGCCTTGCCTGACTCGCATCCATGCTGAAACCTTGTTAACAGCATTGAGGCCCACGCCTTATTCATCAATGGCAACCAAGGTCATACTGGACTTACCTATGCTCATTGCTGCTTTACACGGCCAAGCTTAACACAACTTGGCCTCTATCGAAGTTATTTCGCCATCAACAGCTTGCCTAGCTGAAGTTAAGTCCTGGCAATCCTAAGTCCCTTAAATCACATCTGCTTTGACAAGGGGGTCCACATTGATTATTTGATGTCCATGTCATCCAAGCATGCTCATGTTCATATGGAGAATGCCGCGGTAATCTACCTCCCTCAACGCCAAGCGACCAAACTTGCTGTCACAACTTTGTCTGCTTGGGGGGCTAATGTTGAGGGATGAATTTATATGGCTGCAAAACCAATGACGTGTGCAAATCTACGTCAGCAAGGACCCACAATGCTCATTTCCCACATCGGACGTGTAGTTCCTATTTTCTCCTAATTATTGCAATGGAATTAGCATTACTAGAACGACACTCATGCACTTTGTTGGAGACATCGCAAAATGTAACTTACTCCAACATCTATTTCCATATACACGGCCAGACACGGCTAGATCTATTTTGGCAACATGGTTAGGCATTCCTTAAAGGTCATGTCCTCCGTAGCGATGTTCACTGCTATATCTGGTGGCTCCCAGCAATGAATAAACAGCATACTCTACTACATGGTTTCCATCAATGGATAACGGGCTGATCTTATTATATCTACACAACTCCCAATGATGGAAAAAGAGCCAGATTTGCTATCTTATTTAGCCTCCAATAATGGACAAAAAGCCTACACATTTCTACATATCTTCATTTCACCGGCTCCTGGTAATGGACAAAGGGTCAGATCTCTACACATATTCTATCTGACTGGCTCCCAAAAATGGACAAAGAGTTAGTGCAACTCAGTACGATTAGCATGAGGCCAGTAACAGTTGTAACCTTACGATCGGACAAGATGGCTACCCTCCAACGATAAAAATCCATCAAGTAGCGACCGACGATCCCTTGGTGGTCATTCGTGCATGGTAGTGTGGTGTCTGACAGGCAACAACAATCAGGACCACCCCCTGACGGTGTAGGTATGCCAAGAAGGGCCAACGTTTGTTAATGGTATCACACCTTGTCGTATTGGAGGCCATAGATGCAGCTGGTGTCCCCCTTTCATGGAGACAACTCCACCCTTCTTTATACATATTCATCGCTATGGTGGAGTCTGGTTTAATAAGATTTACCCCTTTGCTACTTGGTCGATTAGTG